GGTTAAAAATCTATATTATCAAATTAAATAACAAAGAAGAAATTAAGCAGTTTCATGTTATTTATATATATATATATATATATATAATCACAAATACTGTTTGCATTGGTATGCCAGGATGTCTTTTGAATGAGTGAGTCATTGAATCATTCGTTAAGTCGATTTGTTCAAAAGCACTGATTTGTTCAGGAATGAATCAAGTCTTAATGAGCAAATCGTGGAATAATACGATTCATTCAGAAACACTGATTGATTCAGGAAAGAAACAAAGCTCACTATTGCATGTGTTGCTCTGGTTCTGCTGTAAATTAATTTGGAACTTTTTCCATTGGTGGAAAAAAAAACTACACAATGTAACTGGTAATATTATATGAAATGTAAGTTAATCAATATTGTTTATTACTGAACCGCAGTATAAAAACAAAATTGCAGGTATTGTTAGAAGAACTGTAAGATGTCAATACGTCTACTATAGATTTTAAGTTTGTTGTTGTTGTTGTTGTTTTATCTCTTAAGGCGATATGACAACTTAGACTTACTAATATTACTAAGTCTCACCTTCAGTCTCCCCAGCACTATTTTTACAAGTAGATTAGTCACTGGGTCATCATCGTCTTGACAAAGTGTGAAAGCAAATGGAGTGTATATTCACACAGGAGCTCAGGAGGGAACCAGGATATGTCAAATAAACATCCAGTGCAGGCTGCACGCAGAATAGAACTGATTCTCATTGTTCAAGCGTGTTCATTTACCCTGAAACCATGAGAAAATAAGCAAGGGTGTTGCTTAAAGTGAGACGGAGGAGCCGAGCACACGTGTGTTTATATGATGGCTAAACAGCGTTGCCGAGGTGAAGTCTGCCTTGAGGAAGACGAGGAGAAGGAACCACTGCGTTGTGTGTGTGTGTGTTTGTCTCAGCGGGCTCTCTCAGTGTGTAAACGTGCAGTCAGAAAAGATTTGGCAGACGGACGGCCGGTGGTTGCTGTGAGGCCTGGTGGTGAGCAGTCCTGCCCGGCAGGGGTTAACTTCGCATGGCTGCACCGCAGCCTCTTTCTGTCAGCCTGTGCTACACACTGCTCCAATGCTTATTTCTTCTGAAAAGCCACTGCAGGTTTCACAAGGCCTCAGCCATCAGATACCTTCTACTGGTGTAACCTTCACAGATCCACATACTTAGCCTTTCCTTCCCCTAGTTTACTGAGAGAAAAGAGAGAGAGAGATAGAGAGAAGAAGAGAGATTGTGCCAGTAGCAAAGCCCCTTCAGTCCTGTTGAAGAGAGAGGGAGTCTGAGCTCTGAAGCTGGTCTCCGGGCTATAAGAGAGTTAAATTGAGAAGACCTTACTGGAGATTGAACGCTGGATCAGATAATGCCTGTGTGTCATCAGGATGGGGCAGTCTGCTTTGTGTCTGCCAAATAAAAGAGACTGTTGTACAGAGTTACATGGCTTTTTTTTCCAGCACAGCGCACATCATAATAAATGTTCAAAAATTGAACGTTGTTTTCATATATATATATACTGTGTGTAGACAGTCACACTTGTCTAGTGTCATGCCTGCACTGAGTCAATAAACTACTTCTTGTTACAGGAAGTCCTTTGGGAAAAGAGTTGTGCACATTTACCACAGCTGAAATGACAGTGACACGCTTTAATTCGGCTCTTTGGATCCTTTCTCACGCGGCAAAGCATCCAAAGGTGAACCGTAATCACAGTCGCCGCCACTGAGCTCTTTTGTGAAATGAAATAACAGATGAAAAGAAGGGAAAAATGCATCTTTAAAGTTTGCCCTCGCGTAAATGTCAATAGAGAACCTTTTCCATCATCAGCAGTAAATTCACATTGATGGCTCTTTTCTTCTCTCTATCGATCCAGCCATGAGAACGTAGATTTGTATCTGTTAATTAATGCGTCCTGAAACAGCATTTGTATTAATCAGGGAGATAAGAAAAATTGGATGCCTGCACTGGCATGACAACCGTAAAAGCGCGAGCCCCTGATAAAATCATTGATGGACCTCAATAAAGAGGGAAAAAAAAGTTCTTCCTTCCACTCAATAAACTAATCATCCGGCTTTTAATTATTCTGCGGAGAGATGTGTGGAGATTGGGGAATGTGTAAATCTAATTATTTACTAACAGCAGTGGCTGAGAGGGAGGGCTGGGAGTGGCACAGGGGGAGCTCAAGGCGATGGGCTCCGTCCATCTGCCACTCCGCAACCCCCTCCTCTGCCGCCCCTGCCTTTATTTTGTCTCTCTGTTTGTCCATCGTACACTCATTCTCTTTGTCCCTCTGCATCTCTCGTTCCGTCTTCATAAATAGTGATTCCATCATTCGTTTGACTCCTGTACGATTTCATGATCAAATCTACCGATGATAACCCTTTTAAATGTTTCTGTTCTAGTGGTGTCACCCATTGTGCAAAAAAAAAAAAAAAAACGTTAATATTCATGTCAAACAGACCCTAAACTCACACCATTGGCTAAGCTAGTGGTGATGTGTCAGGCTGGTCATAGCGACAGCACCACAGTGTTTATGTATTTTTTAAAGGAATATCGTATTGGAGAAAATGTTAAACGTGAAATGTTTTTATATATTCAATCAATTAATCAATACAATATAATTTATAGTCAAAATTATGCTTAGAATGAGTATTGCAGTTTTTTTTTTCTCCAAATGATCAGCAATCTTGTGTGTGCCTCTAAGGAGAGTGTGATCTTATTTTTAGCCAATGCCACCTTTCATTGAGGCCGATGTCTTCATAAGAATGCAGCAGTCTTGCATTAGACCCCCTTAAGAAATTCTTGGCTTAATCCCTTTTGATGATTTTATTAAGTAGTAGAAGATGGCCCTGCCAACTGGCATTGAGCACACTTGCACCAGCAGGCCAGGGGAGGCACCAACTGCTCACCAGCTCTTAGTCTGCCTCTAATGAGATCAGAGATGTTAACAGTTTGGGATAATAAATTAGCGGTTGGTATAAACAATAGCCTGAAACCTATACCTAATGAGCTCCATGCCATTAGCGATTAATTCACAGAAAGAGATTTCAAAAAAGAGAAGAAGAAAAAAAAAACGAGCAAAATTGCCTGCTTTCTCTGAAGGCATCTCTCCACAACAGATGTTGGTGAGCATCTCTTTCCTCCCGTTCCCCCGCCATCCAGATTAGCCCCCTTGCTGTCGCAAAGAGAGACGCTTCATCTGTTCTTGGAAGAGCAGAACGAGTGAGATGAGACGAAAAGGTCCAACTCCAACAGGTGCTGTTTTGCCTGTCCCTCTCCTTCAGAGCTAAAGGATGGCTCTCAAGCACTTATGCAGTTTATTAAGATTACTTGCCCTTTACAAGCTTTTTTTTTTTTCTCTGCCTTGGTTTCGAAAAAAGTACTTGCACTTTTTTCATCCTTTATTTTAGCTCTGTTGTGTTCTATTGACATAATAATAAGTATTTTATTATGATTATTTCAATAATAGTTGGGGGGATTTTGAAATTAACCACTTATTTCCCTTCACTTAAAATGTTTATCTGACCCTGTAAAATGTCAGTTGACAGAAATTATTAAAAATTTAGTAGAGGCATTATAGTTTTAAGAAACATCGGTAACACTTTAGAATACTATGTTTTACTGCATAACTAATAAGGAATTATTAAAGAACTAGGTTATTCTTCATTAACTATTTCTTGTTATCAGTATGTTATAGAATTTAATGAGTTAGTTAATCAATAAATAATTAATTCTGTCATACCACCTCAAGAACTACTATTATTTATTTACTAATTAAGGTTCAAGAAAAATAACCAATAAACATTCATACAAAACTAACCTCAGATTAGTTTTTATATTTTATATACAGTACTCTGTATGTCTCAGCATAGAATGCCATTGAGTAAATGTATGTATTTTAGGCAACAACTGAGGGGAACTGACAATATAGGGATCTTATTAGTAATTATTAAATAATTATTAGATAATTATTCAGGAATTACTTAAAACCTGGAACAATATTCTGAAAAGTGAAAATATAGGGAACTCATTAGTAATTAATAAATAATTACCACTTACTTCTGATAAAATAAAACACTATTACATATAACCTTTGTAAAATACACTAACAATGACTCGTTTAAGCTACATGATATCTTTATTTCAGATGATATTTTGTTTTAAGATGTATACTGCCTACATTTAAACTCGTTTAACAAACATTTTAAAATCAAAAGTTAAAACATGAAAAGTAATTCAAGTAATCAACTGGTCTCATTTCCACGGTAGTAGCTGGATCTCTTGCGGGAGCTGGGCTTTTTTTATGGATTAAAAAAGCATACACCCTCTATGGGCGGGTTGAAAACATGCGGGACAGCTCCTACCACTGGTTGTAGTCTTTAACCTCTGGCCAAAAAGTCCTCCGATGATGCAAAATGTCTTATGAAGGATATGAAGGTGGAAATCACGGTAATTCGAAAATGCTGCAGGTTTTCTACTAATACAAAGCTTAATGCTAAATTAAATCCTGAAGTATCCCTTTAAACTCCTTGTCCCATGGACAGACAAAAGCCATGTGATCTTCAGTTTCAAATGGCATTCATGAACACGAACTCTACGACTTCCTTCACTTCCAGCAAAAAGACGCGAAAACTGAAAAAAAAGTGTGTGCAGAGTAGGGGGAGGAGGAAGGAGAAGGAGTTTGAGGCAAGCAATTAGTCTTTCAGTTGGTGTGATGGGAAGAATTGATCCATGCTGCATGTTGGGGGAGATAAGGAGTGCCCTCCCTCAGGATGCCCCCTGGCCTGCAGCGCAGCAGGAGATGAGAGCCAAGGCTCGTGCTAGGTGCCTCAGCTCACTCCCACTGGAGTTTTCCTCTGTAATACACCTCTAGAATGTCAATGCTTCCCACTAACACAACCAGAAACTTCTGACAATGAACTGAGCTTTAATATCGTATAGCGCGTTGAATGTTGATTTGAATCGTTGAGTTGAACAAAGCTCTTTCTCTTGCTTTTCCCAGGGTTTTCCACACTCTCGCTGGCGGACCAGATGAGTCTTCTGCAGAGCGCATGGATGGAGATCCTGATCCTGCGTGTAGTCTACCGCTCTCTGTCTTTTGAGGACAAGCTGGTCTACGCTGAAGACTACATCATGGATGAGGATCAGTCCAAGCTGGCCGGCCTGCTTGACCTGAATAACGCCATTCTTCAGCTGGTGAAGAAATACAAGAGCATGAAGCTGGAGAAGGAGGAGTTTGTCACTCTTAAAGCTATAGCCCTGGCTAACTCAGGTAAAAATTAGCAAATTTGCTCAATTTCAAACAGGCGCCACATTTGGTTATGAAACATTCAGGCGATCAAAACCAATTTTTTCAGCAGATTTCCAATGGACAAAAATGTACATATTTTTATATTATATATATTTTTTATTATATATATATATATATATATATATTACAAATTGGGTCAATGGCATGACACTCAATATTTGTGAATATTGTAGCAATTTATTTTACATATTATATTATAATACATATTTACCTTGTGTAAATTAGATTAAAACCAAGATTAATAAAGAGTCATTTTTCCTATTTATCATGGACATTCTTACGTCATTAACCCAGTTCTAGCTGTCATTACTTTCTTTTTACTTACATCAACTTAAATATAGTGTCTGCCCTGAAAGTCTACATTCTATTATAATTTGTTCAATGTGTCTCTTGTCTCTGTTCCCTAAACAAATTCACAGCAATCCTATTGCACATGAAACGAGATGTTGAGTTTAACTTTAGCTTTTAGCTTAGAATTGCTCTTGAGGCTGTTGATATTTTATTAGCGTAGTTAAACTCACTGTTTTTGAATGGTAAAGACAGATGTAGTGGTAGAGTTGTTCAGGTACAGTTCAAGAGATATCTTAATATCTCAGTCTTTCTTTCTCTCATGTTTTCTCTACTTCAGTTCACTTACACACACCACAACGCCACAGTAAACAGTGTTCCCACCCCTCCCCTCCCCGCCCCGTTTGAAATGCTTCAAAAGCACGGCCGCGGCCCCTCTCCGAATTAGCATAAGTCTCTGCTCAGATGCCTCTTAAGTAAGGAGCCCATCACTATGCACCTCCATGTCAATAACAGGCTCTGATGTTGTCCGCCATCGACAGTCACGCCATGGCCCTCTGGCTCCCTTTGTGTTGACCCCATCTTTGAACTTTATCTTGGTTGCTGGCCAGTAGTTTTCCCTTTAATTACAAGAAGGAAACTGTCAATAAAATCTGTTAAATGGGACGCAATGAGCAGCTTGAATGGGAGGGCGGCTATTTGTTCAAATTCTCCAGCGCTCAAGGTATTGACAGTTTGTTTTCTGGGGCCATATGTGACGATCAATCTCCGGCTGGGCCTGGCCATGCTGAAAAATGAAAAAGCAGATTGCTCTTGCTCGCTTGCGGGTGATGGCTCGCGAGTTTGGCCCCGGCCTGCAGACACCGGGGGCCGTTCTGCCTAAAGTGCACCCCAGAAAGAGCGAGAGGGCACGTGACTCTTTTGAGAAATTCATTTTTAATTGATTCGACGATTAGCAGTTCATTTCGCTTTGTTGACGTGCGTGTCAACCTGCCAGAAACAGGTGAAATTGATCGATGAGTGGTAGGTTTACGCCTTTTTTTTTATCTGATATCTTTTTTATCATACACAATGAGACTTCCCGTAGCCTGATGCTTAGGCTAATCGCTGTTTTTCCCTCTCGTTCTCGGGTGTCATTCTCTGTGTTTATCGAGACTTTCTCTCTGCGGCTTTTCTCTTCACTCTTCTCTCAGGAGAGACATGCATCATGTCCGATTTCAAAGGTGAGCCATTTTGTCACTTCTTTTTTTGGTGGAGAGCAGAGTGTTTTAGACAGCTGCTACAAAAAATGATACACTCCACCATTTTCTAAAGCCCTGAGGTGCTGGGTATTTCCACTCAGATCCAATGTATTTCACAGTCTTTCAATAGACTCAGTATTGCTTAAGCAATCGATGTCAGAGTGACATTTTTTCCTATTTATTTGAAAGCTTCACGTTGCGGTTTATCTCATTATGGTTTCTTTTGTAACATTCAAGTAAATCACATGACATCCGATTCAGCCATTTACTGACATGATTCCTGTGTCATTCTGGGAAATCCTAACAAATTTGAGTCTAGCGAAGTGTCTTTTTGCTAGTAAATTTTAAGGCACAAATAGTGTGCAAAAAAACACACCGAGTTTTTCCGCCGCCTCCAGCGGTGATGGCGAGATTGATAGGGCTTGTGTGGAAAGGTGCAGGTAAGCACTTTCCTGCCAGGGATTTCTGTCGGATCACAGGTCACTTTTCAGATGGCCAAAGCCCATGTGACTGATGGACGAGACCGCGCTGTCTGAATTCTAGATGGGTTACGATATCGAATCGCAGCCTGAAGCAGGCTGACGTTTGTCCCGCTGGCCAGCCCAAAGGACAGATGGTGCTCTCTACTAATAGAGGAACTTCACACTTTTATCAATACTTGACCATACAACTATTATTTAACGTGTATGTATCAATTGATTCGAGGCAATGCATTGATTATGACATCTTTGCCAAAAGCCAACGTGCATTTGGACATTTCATCCGGAGGGAACGGGATCAGATTGACACGCCACAGTAGAAAACCGAGTCAATACTGTTGGTGGAGTCGGTCTATAAAGAGCAAGTCAGACAAAGCACTTTCTTTACCATTGTGATGTGATAAAACCATCAGAGCACTGCATAGTAGAATCCAATGCTTGGATTAGCTGGAAAAGTGCAACTATATTATCCACTGGAGCACAACACAGCAAAGATAGTAGCTGCCTTAGACTAATTGTGTTCTCAGAGGCACGTCCGTCGCGGTGAACGGGCGTGAATGCTGTACTAACGAGTGCAAATGCAAATGCAGCCTGTTTGACATTTCTGGCAGACAATGCCAGTCAGGCTGAGGTATTGTTTCCTGACTCGAGCCTCTGTTTCTCTCGCTTAGACAAGTGCCATATCAGCTCTCCTCCAAACACTGTTTCTGTCGCCCGTGCCATTCATCAGTCCCACAGAGAGGCTTGTAAACACGTGCCGAGGACAGTCTCGGCGTTTAACACTCAAGTGTGTCTTTAATCACTGGAGAATGAGCTTAGGGCTGGCAAAAAACCATGAGTCACATTCTTTTAATCCCTTTCCTTTTGCCAGGACTTCCGTCAGCCTGAAATGGATTTTTAAAAAAAAAAAGGAAGAAAAGAAAAGTCCCGTACGACTAGCAATCGGGAGTGTCATACCTGTTTAAACTAATAAAAAGCTTAGATTTTTGAGCCAAGTGGATTTTGAAGAGAGAGAGGTTTTAATGATGAATCAAAACTGTACCACTAGACACTAACATATCTTATACCTTTACGTATTGCTAAAACTTTAGTAGTTGAAAAACATATTTCCCCTTTGGTCATGTCATAGTAAAAAACTAAATTAAATGATGTGTGATTCATTGGGGTTTTTTTGGGTCTGGAGGAAAATTTGTGTTATTTCATTGTCCGCTGAATAACTGTTTTTCCAGATTCCATGCATATAGAGGACGTGGAAGCTGTGCAGAAGCTCCAGGACGTGTTGCACGAGGCCCTGCAGGACTACGAGGCGGGCCAGCACACGGAGGACCCGCGCCGGGCCGGCAAGCTGCTCATGACCCTACCGCTGCTCCGGCAAACCTCCACCAAGGCGGTGCAGCACTTCTACAGCATCAAACAGGACGGCAAAGTGCCCATGCACAAACTGTTTCTGGAGCTGCTGGAGGCCAAGGTCTAACTCCTCCCCCCCGGCCCGCCACGTCACACCCACAGAGAGCTGGAGGGGGTACGTCACAGACTCCGCCCCTTCACCGGGCAGACACTGACTTACTCTCTGCCGCTGTTCGTGAAACCTTTGTCTATAAACTTTATCAAATAATAACTAAAAACATAACCGTAACGGTACTTCTAATTACTGACAATGATACGTAAATATAAGAATGATTTAAAATGTGATTATTGAGAAAAAATATGAAGTGGAAAAAAAAAATGACTGCTCTCATTATTCAGCAGTGGGACTTGAAACCAGCCGTTGACTTGTTCTTCTCGAAAATCTGATGCTGAGTTTTTTTTTTTTTTGTGCTTTTGAAATATTTTGTTGATTTTCAAAAGAGAATTACCGAAGCCGAGAAAGACCAGCCCTGCCAAAGGAAGGAGGTCCACCCAGTGGACACCAGCAAGAGAAACTTTCCCCAAACTGTACCGTCCAGCTTCCATGTCGCTGAAGGATTCGACCCTCTTTACCATAAGAGTAGTGACTATATGCAGTATTACATTAGAGGTCCTCGGAGCAGTTTGACAACGCGATAGCCAAACGGAGATTTTGAAGAAGCTGCTCCTCACCATTATGTAGCCATGCGGATCGATCATGTGTGTGTCACTCCCTCGTCCTTTTCTTTCAAGTCTTCCAAACACGTCTAGCCTCTTTTAACGATTTCGTTTCGATCTTTTCAGGGAATAGCCGAAGCTTTAGTCTCTCATGCAATACTGAGCAAAGAAGAATCGCAGTGGTCACGGAACAGACTCATTTATTTATTGACTTTTATTTTATTATCTTTTATTCAAGTGTATTTGTACTGTACTGAAGGATGTAAATATATGGTATGGTCAACAAACACAATGTTTCTTCATATAATGTTAATAATAGATCGTTATGTTTTTCTACCGACCACCGTGTTGCGCGATTTACGAACCATGAGGATGAAAACCTGCTATCTTCTCTAAGCAATAGATGTTTAAAAAAAACAAAAAAAGTGAATATGTATGCAATTTTGTTTGCTTTTTTTTCTTTTCTTAGTGCCACACTTACTTGGGAAAACTTGGGAATTTCCAGAAGCTTTCGCGTTTCTGTCTGTGCTTGTCATAAGATGATGCATTACATACACGATGTGGCCAGGAGGACCATAACCATTATCTCAAGTCAATTATATATGCATATATATATATTAACTTCTCGAAATTCTATTGGCGTTCTTTCATACTGAAGCAGTATTTGAACTTTAAGCAAAATAGCACTTAGGGAAGACGGAGAATCATCGTAGATTTAGTTTCACGATGGTCCTGGGTTTTTTTTAGTGCCAGAGATATCATACACGTGATGTAATCTTCTTCCAAATGACATTTTTAGCAGAGAGGCTCAAGTATCAAAGCAAGCGATCCACAGCCTTCATCAGAAATATGTCAGTATTAGTATGGGGTATTTTCTGAATATTCTTAAGCATTGTATATTGTAAATGAACAGATTAAAAATCTAACCTAAGACATTTTATTGGAACAGATGAAAGAAAAAAAAAAGAATGAAAAATGAACAAAAAAAATGTAGTTCAGCTTCTTGGTGTTTCATGTCTGCTGTGTTTTTTCTGAAACATCTCAGTTTTTTTCCCCCTTTCCTCTGTCACAAGCAAAAGACGTAGTGCACTACCCGTGGCCGATTCAGTTCGTCTTCTGTTTCTTTTCTAATTTTAGTTCATTTTTTAGAGACAGGGTAGAATTAGAGACAATACTGGATGTATGAATCCTCATGAGCAAGATGATGGGTTCTCAAATAACCTTCTGAAAAAAACTCTTCCTAGTAAACGCTAGATCAACCGATCAACGATCAATATAATCTATGCTGATATATAAGTGAATATTTAAAAGGAGGTGCATCATATGTACGAGAGACCATCTGTGTAACTCCGATCTTGTAGACTAACACTGTATATCATAGGTTGCAAAACATGCTTTGAAATAGTACCTCTTTTTCTTTCTTTCCCCTCTTTTTCTGATTTTACTTCTCTTTTAACAAAATGCTGTACATAAGGCCTTCATGCTGAACTCCATTGGTATATATCTTGACTCTTTAAGGTTGCAAAGGGAAGAAACATTTTTGTTTGTTTTGGTGTAAGATCGGTTTTCAAAACTATCACTTTGACTTTGTGTGCTTAATAAAAATTACGGAAAAAAAATCTGCAAGAACAGATCATTTTTTAAAACGAACGGTTTTCTTTGTTGCTTTTCTCAGTCTTGTTCTATAAATACACTGTATCTATCATTAGCTATTCAAAACTCTTAATAGATTGTGCTTTGGAAAGGTTAGTGTAACGTGACTAGATCTTATCGCTCATGGCAACTCATCAGATGGGCAAAATGTGTTTTGGGGGGAGATTTGGGGTCTTGCTGTTAAGAAGACTTTACTTTTTTTTTTTTCACGTGATCAACTCCTGGCAGATGAGGTGCGTTTTTCTCTCAAATTTTGTTTACTTCCTCTCTTTTTTTGTGTTTTGTTTACTCTGAGGTGATCACGAAGGAAATAAAGCGATATGAAACCGGCTAAGCTTTCTAATTCTGGTCAGTTTTGTAAGAATTCATTCAAAACGAGAGCAATCCCGATCTTTCAGATACACATTTTTTCCAAGTTGCTTTTAGTGCACAAAATGAAAAACAAAATACTTTTTATTACACGTCCTGTGTAATTTTGGACAAAATGGTATACACGGACCTCTCGAACCATTTAAAGACAATTTTACTGTCTTTTAACACTCATCTATCCAGCATTGAAATCAAAGTGTAATTAATCCGTACCCACAATGACTTTTTTTTAGAGATATTTTCTTATTTAAAGCAATATAACGGTACGATGCTATTCAATTAGTGATCAAATGCTGTATCTATTGGACTATTTTGCAAATTAAGGAGTAATGATGAGCAAATGTACAAACAACTGCTATTTTTCAATGTTGAAGATATTCTAGGTGTTGGTTGTATTTATTCGTGCATCGACGCGTCTGCCAAACGCTTCCTGGCAGTCTAACCAGTGAGGGAAAGGACCAGATCCATAATAAAGGAAGGGGAAAGAATAAAAGAGCATTTGAGAAGCTTCTATGATCAATATGATATATTTCAACCCAGCAGTTGCTGAAACAACCTGTAGTGAGAATCATGTCTGTAGTTTTTAGATGTGCTCCACATCGGTAAAACTATTAACTGTATATTTTTGTGATGTGCATCATTACAGTGTGCTCCAAACAATATGTCCATTTGTGTAAATGTATTTATTTTACATTGTATATATTGTTCAATGCAAAAAGAGAGACCTATGATTCTGTAACTACGATCAGTTCAGATGTGTAACTCCAATTATGCCTTTCAGGATAATAGTAGAGCAATATTAAACATGCTTCCAGTTTTAACTCGGGCTGTGTTTACTGTGTGAGAACATGTTTTCAGTTTTAACGCATTGTGGTTTTGACTTTTTACTGTAGACTCCATGATGTGGGGGAAATGTTCAGGCCATTTACATTAGGGAACTTGCGGCTGTTGTTCCTCAGTACATTATTCGCCTATATGCTCTTGAAATTCAACACTGATAATAATGAGAAATCTTTAACGATTAGAATGATTTATGACTCTGAAGACTGAAAATTCAGCTTTGCCATCACAGGAATAACATACATTTTAGAATACAGTATATTGCAATAAGATTTGAAATATTACTGTGTCAATTCATTTTTCATCAAATAAATGCAGGCTTGCTTCATTTAAAAAAATTACCGACCCCAAACTAAACAGAATACACAAACCTGCCAGACATAGCCAGGCGAGCGTAAACGCGCACACTGTAAAATCTAACATTGTTCTTACTAAGAATTTTTTGTTAACTTTACTTAAAGTTCAATAATTTGTTGAACTTACTTAAAATTTCTTAGTAATCTGTACTGTTTTCATGCTATGCTTTCCTTGTAAACATTACTTGACTGGTTTGAGTACCATTTTGCCCCCAAAAAAACAAAAAAAAACAAGATTTATTTATTTTACTAAACAGGATTATAGAGGCAATCACAGTGATCAGAGAATAGCTCATTCATCCCATCAGGCAATTGTTTAAACATGTATGGGTTAGAAAAACGATATTTTTAACATGAAATGTTGCATAATGCACCTTTAACTTCCATTTTGGCTCTTTTTTTAAATATCAAATTGGTCAAGTGAGAGTTTTCAAGAATGGTTACAAATCAGAAACTCTTGGTCACACTCTTGTACATCTTACAGATTTTCTATTATAATAAGTACTTTCCTATAGGGGAAAAAACACTTGAATTAAGAAAATTGTGAATATACTGTAGCAACTGACGAGAATGCTGGTATCCAGGCAATAGAGTCTGCTTGGCTACTTGACTTTTTTCTTCTCAAGAGCAGTCTGTCATTTTTTTTTTTCCTGCGCTGACATCTTCACGTGGCCACTCTTCATTCTGTCGTGGTTACAATATTATTGCGTCGGAAAGGGGAAGAAAAATGGTGGATGAGCAGAAAGTTCTTGACAACTTGATGCAGCGTTTGAGGCATGTCCACTCAGAGGGTAATCAGCCGCTATGCCCTGAGGCTTTAAAGCAGACACATTGATGTAAGACAACGTTCCTAACATCAGCACAGCCTCACGGTCAGCCCGCATCCACTCTGTCTCTCCTATAGCACACATGAGAAGCAAACACCAGCAAGAGGAAAGCACTTATGGTACCCAAATAGCAAACCACTTTTTTATTTATTTTTTTTTTTTTTTACATCCAACTAAATTGCCAAAAGAGATTAAATAATAAGGCTATTCTGGGCCGTTTCCTGTATGCAGGCTTGAAAAGGGAACATATAGGCCTAGCACTATATAGTGAGATGGCATTGTGCGAGTAAAATCATCTTCCGCTAACATGTATCATATAATGTGGGGAGACATTTAATGTTCTGTAGCAAAAGCGTTTAAGGCTTTAAAACAGAGCAGTGACCTGCAGGCAAATATTTTTCAAGAAGATGACATCATAAGATATTACTTAAAGAGGGCCCCGTTGGCGGAGGATTTTCCCCCCCACTTTTTTCTTTATTATTTGCGCTGCGGCGGCACATACATTTCACTCATTGACTTCGGAGTTCATTTATTTTATTTTATCTTTATGCCATTGATTCATTATTATGATACAATAAAAGCTACTTGAGCATTTCAGCTGCCAAGTACCGTTATCATTAACCTTGCGAGACGCTAAAAGTGCTCCATGGCATTTGTAATGGCTCTTTTAACTCTTTCCGCTCTACCATGTTATGCGGCTGCTGCTGTAATTGGGTTTTCACTGAGCTCGGACCATCAGAGGAGGCCCCGGTATAAGCTAAGCCAAGGAATATGCACGGATATGCCAGAGTATTTGTATTTCTCCATTATGTCAATTTATGGATCATCCCGTCGGTGCAATTTGGAACCGGAGCGGGAAAGTGTCTTATAGTCCAATTGGGGATTTTGATGTTCCCCATAAAGCTTTAGTTCAAAGTTAAGCTCATTTTAGATTAATTGATCTATTCTAGTCATATTAGTTAAACTGCTGATCTTGATAAGTCTGTTTGAAATGACCTCTGTCTTGCTCACATCTGTTTAATGCGTCCTGGTAACTGTATGAACTGACATTAAAAAAAGGAGTGGCTAAGTTATATAGTCAGGGGTGTCATGAACCTTCTTCTTCTTTTTTTGAAGGGGCACCAATGACAGTCCTGGCTCACTTGTCAAAATGGAGGCAGGTAGATTAATGTCTAATTCAAAGCAAATGAACTGCAGAATGCAATTAAATTAATTTAAATTTTAGTTAAATTAACTAATTCAAGTGGTTTGAACAAAATTAAATTAAGTTGCTACAAAATGTTAAAGAATGTTGTT